TCTAATGGTTTGTCAATTTTATATTTTCAAAGAACTACCTCTTAGTCTGGGTAATGTTTTCTGCTGCTTGCTTCTCACCTTCCTTTAGTTCTGCTGTAATCTTTACTTTTTCCTTCTCTATGCTAACTTGGGGTTTACTTTGTTATTCTTTTTCTACTTGTTAAGGACTAGAGTTAGATTACTTATCTGGGGGACACCTGGGTGGCTCAGTGGTTGAGTGCCTGCCTTTGGCCCAGGGAATGATCTTGGAGTCCTGGAATCGAGTCCCATATCAGGCTTCCTGCATGGAGCCTGCTTCTCTCTCTGCCTATGTCTCTGCCTTCTTTCTCTGTGTCTGTCATGAATAAATTGAATCTTTTTTTTAAAAAAAAAAAAAGATTATTTATCTGGGATGCTTATTGCTATGAATCTCCCTCCTTGAATTGCTTTTTTTTTTTTTAAAGATTTTTATTTATTTATGAGAAACATGAGAGAGAGAGAGAGAGAGAGAGAGAGAGAGAATGGCAGAGACATAGGCAGAAGGAGAAGCAGGCTCCATGCAAGGAGCCTGACATGGGACTTGATCCTGGTACTCCAGGATCACACCCTGGACCAAAGGCAAGTGCTCAACCACTGATCCACCCAGGCTTCCCCGAATTGCTTTTTTTGTATCTCACAATTGTCATCTGTCTCAAAATATTCTATTTTCCCTTTCTTCTTTGATCCATTCATTCTTCAGGAGAGTGTTGTAACGAGGAAAACTATAGAAAAACAATGGAAATTATACAACACTCTCCTGAAGAGAGTGGTCAGAGAATCATATTTGGTATGATTTCATTGTTCTTGAATTTGCTAAGAATTGGGGGTTTTTTGGCCTCACATGTTCTATGCTAGGTAATGTTCCATTCACACCTGTGAAGATTGTATTCTCTCCAGATAGAATGTTCTATATATCACTGTTAAGTCCATTTTGTCTATAGTGTTGTTCAAATCTGCTTTTTCCTTATTGATTTGCTGTCTGCATGATCTATCCATTGTTGGGTGGAATATTAAAGTCCCCAACTATTACTGTATTGTCGCTTATTTATCCTTTTAGATTTGTCCATTTTGCATTGTCTTTATGTGCTGATTATAACACTGGGTGCATAAATATTTACAATTATTATGTCATCTTGCTCTGTTGACCCCCTTTTATATAATGACTTTTGTCTCTTTTTACAATTTTTAAAGTCTATTTTGTCTGATAGAAGTATAGCTACCCCAGCTTTTTTTTGGGGGGGGTTACCCATTGCTTGAAATGTCTTTCTTCACAGTCTGTTTGCCTTTTCTTTTTAATATTTTATTTATTTATTCATGAGACAGAGAGCGAGGCAGAGACACCAGGCAGAGGGAGAAGCAGCCTCCACGCAGGGAGCCCAACGTGGAACTCGATCCCAGGACTCCAGGATCATGCGCTGGGGTGAAGGCAGGCGCCAAACCACTGAGCCACCCAGGGATCCCCAGTCTGTTTGCCTTTAATTCTGAAACAGGTCTTTTGTAGAATGTCATTGGGTCTTGTTATTTTAATCCACTTAGTCTGTGTCTTTATATATTGGAGAATTTAATCTATTGACTTTTTTTTTTAAGATTTTATTTATTTATTCATGACAGACAGAGAGAGAGAGAGGGAGAGAGAGAGAGGCAGAGACACAGGCAGAGGGAGAAGCAGGCTCCATGCAGGGAGCCTGATGTGGGACTCAATCCCGGGTCTCCAGGATCATACCCCGGGCCGAAGGTGGCGCTAAACTGCTGGGCCATCGGAGCTGCCCAATCTATTGACATTTAAAGTAACAATCAGTAAGGATTTAATACTGCTGTTTGTGTTTGTTTGTTTTGTAGGTCCACTGTTCCTTGTTTCTTATCCTGTTGTCTTTGTGGTATGATGTCCTGTCATCAGTATACTTTGACTTGTCATCTTCTTTTGTGTAATTAAAAGGTTTTTGCTCTGTGGTTACCATGAGAACCATAAAATATCCTAAAATTTAACACCCTATTTTTAACTATCAGCAACTTTAATTGGATTCCTAAGCTTTACACTTCTCACATTTTACATTTTTATTGTGTAATAACATTATTAAAGATATAGTTACTTTTACTATATTGTTTTTAACTTTTTTTTTTGTTTTTTATAAGAAACAAGTTTTTTAAGAGTTTACTTGACAGAAAGACCACACATGCACAAGCAGGTGGAGTGGCAGCAGAGGGGGGCAGAGAAACAGGCTCCCTGCCGAGCAGAGCCCCATGTGGAGCTTGATCCCAGGACCTTGGGACCATGACCCGATCTGAAGGCAGATGCTAAACTGACTGAGCCACCTAGGTGCCCGTTTTTAACTTTGAAACTTAAATGACTTAAACACCACCATTCCCCTATTACAGAATCATTTTTGACTATCATTAGCAGTGACTTTTACACTGCCTTCTTATGTTTCTGTGTTATTAACTAGCAATCTTTTATTTTCACTCAAAGAGCTCCCTTTAGAATTTCTATTAAGGCAGATCCAGTGGTAATGAACTCCCTCAGCTTTTATCTGGAAAAGTCTACCTCTCCTTTATTTCTGAAGGACGTCTTCACTGGGTATACAAATCTGGATTGAAACTTTGAGGGTTTTTTGCTCCCAGTATTTTGAATATGTCCTCCCATTGTTTTCAAGCCTGAAAAGTTTCTGTTGAGAGGTCCACCTTTAGGGTTCTCTTTTTTGTAATCTCAGTTTTTTCTTGTTGTTTTCAAAAGTTTTTGTCTTTGTTGCCATTTAATGGTAAAGTGTTTTGATTTAGCTCTATTTGGGTCCTTTGGGCCTCTTGGATCTGAGTATCTATTTCTCTACCCAGGTTGGGGAAGTTTTCTGCCATTATTGCTTTAAATATACCCTCTGTCCATTTCTTTTTTTTCTTGGAATTCCCATAATCCCAATATTGTTTTCATCGTGTCCTATAATTCTTGTAGCCTCTCTTCACTTTTTTTCATTTTTCTTTTTGCTCCTCTAGCTGTGTAATTTCAGTTGTTTTTCTTCTAGTTCATTGTTCTTCTGCATGGCCGAGTCTGCTTTTGAAACTCTTTATTGAATTCTTCGATTCAGTTATATTTTTCAGCTCTAGGATTTGGAGTAGGTTTTTTGTTTTGTTTTGTTTTGTTTGTTTTTTAATGATTTCTATTTCTTAGTTGAACTTCTTGTTTATTTTCATTATTTTTTTTAGCTGTGTGTTCTTAGAGTTCACTAAATTTCTTGATGAGAATTATTCTGAATTCTTTATTTGACAGCTCACAGGTCTCCATTTCTTTTGGGTCAGTTACTAGAGCTTTATTTATTTCCTTTGATGGTATAATACTTACCTGATTTTTCACAAAATCTTTGATTCCTTAGTTGATACCTGCACATTTGAATAAGGGGTCTCCTGTTTCAGACTTAGCATGTTTGATTTGGCAGACATTTCCTCACCAGTCAAGCTCAGTCTGGGATTCTGCACATGTCTGCTGATAACATCTTTGGGTAAGTGGGATATCTTACTAGAGTCTATTTTTGGGCAAGGCAGCTATTCATGCTCTGAGGTCAGGGGTATGTCTGGGATTGAGAATAGCTGGATAATACTGCTGGCTTGGTTCCCTATTCAAGTCAGCCTGTGGGATGGTCTTTGTGATTTCCTGGATTCTCTGGTTAGGCTTTCTAGAAGGTTGCGACTGAGTACTGTATTTAGCATTTGTTGGGGCAGTGAATTAGCCTCTCTGCCCTAGTAGGACAGCAGGATGAGGACAAGGACCTGTAGAGCTTGTCTGGGGACCTGATTCAGGCAAAAGTAAAGACTGAATATCCTGGTCAGATGAGCCACCAGGTTTTGCTCTATAGACATGCAAGCCACAGGCTGTGCTCTATTCAAGTGCTACTGTAAATGGGGCTGTTGGATAGGCTCTACATTTTCCTGTGTGTTTTTGGTTAGGTTGTTTGTGTGGGTGTGCTGAAGGTTGTATTCAACAGTAAGTGGGGCTATGAATTAGTTTCCCTGGCTGGGTGCAGCAGGAGAAACAGTTCAAAGGCCATTAATGCCCTTTGTCTTGACTCAAGCCAAGCCATGCCTCAAGTTCCCTGGCCAAGTAAGACCACTGAGTTTGCTCTCGGTGCTGTCACTTCTGCCTATCCACTCCTTGGCTTAAGAGTTGGATTACATACATAGCTCCCAAGGGGTTTTTTTTTTTTGCCAGCCCTTCCTGTCAGATGGGCAGGAGGCCATGCTTTGTAGGCGTAGGGGTGGGAAAGAGCTGTGTCTCTGGTTACTGTGTGGGCAAGACTGGAAGGGCCCACTTCAGGCAATTCTCAAATTTTCCTGAATAGATTTTCTGATCAGGAGGGGCCAGGAGCCATGATCTGCAGCAGGGGTAGTTATGGCTCAGCTCTTCTACCAGGACATGGGAAGACCAAGCACCAGAGCCAGCAGAACAGCTTCTTTTGAGACCCAAGTTTGACAGGCCTGAATCCTTCCAAATTCCCCAAATTGTGCCACTGATCTGGCTTGCAGATGAACAAAACTACTGGATGGGACTACCTATTCAAAATATTGATTTAGGAGTGCCTAGTGGCTCAGTCGGTTGAGTATCTAACTCTTGACTTTGGCTCAGGTCATAGTCTTAGGATTGTGAGATCAGGCCCGCAATCAGCAGGGAGTCTGCTTGAGATTTTTTCTCCCTCTCCCCTCCACACTATGTCTAAAATAAATCTTTAAAAGAAAAAAAAATTGATGCAAATTATAAAAGTGGGTCCTTTACATTCTAGAATGTACTGATGATTAAAAACCATGCAGTTGTAAATGTTATTTATCTCTGTCCAGACTTTCTCCATTAAGTTTCTTCAGATCAAAAGCTTATAACCAAACTCTTTAGAACTTTCAGCAGTGAGTGGTTATTAATGTTAAATTATAGTAACCAGTTACACAATGTCTAAAATGATAAGTGATAAAACTTATTAGACAACCAAATTATCTAGTTTTTAAGCGGTATTTTTCCTCATCAAAATGTTACATTACTAACTTTGTTATACTAAAAGAATCAGGCTAGTGGTTGGCCCACACTGTCATGGTAATGAAGTCTCTAGAATAGTAATAAAAGGCAGTTATTTTAAACTGTTATACTTTATAACATTTATAATTTAAAATATTATATCTAATATCTGAATTCTGATGTTAAGAACCAAAGAGTTGCTTCTATTTTATTAGGTATTAGACCCATGTTAGAGAAAAGGAAATTCTAGAAGTTTCAGCATTTTTTAAATGAGATTCCAGAAAAAGGAAACAAGATAATAACGATTCAAAATATATCTAAGGAAAAGTTAAAGTGATCACTAAACCTGAAAGATAAGCTCAAGCAATCACAAAGCTCCTCAATTAGACACATCTGCCAACCAAAAGGGGTAGGTTTCCACAGTGTACTCTGTTACTGGAAATACTGGTAACAGAGTCACGAGGGAAGGCAATGTCAAATATTTTAGAAAACAAAATCTCTGTCTGGAAGTAAAATAGGAGGAAAGGCTGAGGATAACAAGTGTGAGGGGAGGAGGAGGAGTCAGGGCACTTTTTGAGCAGATGCATGCTATGACAAGGAAGATTTGTACCGGTAACTCAGGTGATGGAAGAGGTCAACACTACATAGTGAACAAAACTTTCAGAGTCTAGAACAACTTTTAAAATGGGGAATAATTTTTCTTTTATATTTGTTTGATAAAAGAAATGGCTACTTCCTGTTTCAGCATCTACGGAAACTAGGAGTTGGGCTTTTTTTTCTCTTTTCATTGCTACATTTTACAATTCTCAAGGACATGTACCATTGCTCGAATTATTTTTTATTTTAAATTGCACTGCTCCCTTATTTTTGGAAAGTGTTTCTTGTGTGTCCTTTATGTTGGATCTCCACAAGGGAAACTTCAGGCAGTGAGAAACACAGCTTCGTCAGAATCGCGGTCCTTGCCACTGTCTTCACTTGGTGCACACTCCCCACCACTTGGAGACCGGCAGCTTAAATCCTCGACCCCAGACTCCTGATCACTGTTGGCTGAGAGATCTGGATCTGAGCTTTTCAAATTGTCTTGGGTTAGGATGAGAGCAGAATCTTCATCACCTTGTGAAGGACTCCTGGATGGAAATGACTTCATATTTCCACTGTAATCCTGGGGAGTGTTGGCTGTGCTGTTGTCTGAGGTAGAAAACCCTGAGTGTTTGCTGGGTTCACTCGGCTTACTCTTCACTTTAGTGTGATTTAACTGGACTTTTTGAATTTTTTCCAGTCTCTAAAAAAAAAAAAAAAAGGAAAAACCATAAATAATTTAGTATTTATTACTTTCCAGCTGGGTATAATGTGAAAGATTCTCCAAGACTTGGTTCCTTCATCTCTAATTAAGGAAGGTAATACCTGCCTTAGTATATAGGTTTTCTGTAAACTGCAAAACAAAACAAAACAAAAAACCCTAGGTTCAGCACCCGGCAATCAGGTAATAAACACCTCATTCCTGATTCCTGATTTAAAAAAAAAAAATGTACTTTGAGTTCATTGGATGAAATCATTATGTAAAACCTTACAGGTCTAGAAAGAAGGATGACTACTACTAAGTTTTTAAATTAGGATATAAATCACTTACCATAAAACTTCCCCTTCTAAAATCTACAATTCATTGGTTTTAGTATATTCACAAGGTTACACAACAATTCCCTACTACCTAATTCCAAAATACTTTCCTCATCCCCAAAGAACATCCCATATCCTTTAGCAGTTACTCCCCATTCCCCCTTCCCACTGCCCTGGCAACCACTAAGCTACTTCCTATCTCTATGGATTTGCCTGGTCTGGATATCTCCCATAAATGGAATCATACAACATATGTTCTTTGGTGTCTGGCTTCTTTCCCTTAGTCTATGTTCTTGGGCTTCATCCCCAGTATAGCTTGTATACAAAACTCCATTCCTTCTTATGATTACTTAATACCACATTGCATGAATATCCACATTTTGTTTATCTCTTCATCAGATGATGGACATTAGGGTTACTGAAAATACATTTACCAGATTTCATCCTTTGGTGTCACCAAAGGAGGTGTTAAAAGACCAAGTATTGTATACTTATTTCAAAAGCATTCATCTTAAGTTGTTATGTGCAAAGAGCACTGTACTGGGCAGTGTGACTAACAGAGATAAATACAGAGCCAGCCATAAAGAACTTGGAATATGGAGGCAGAGTTCAGATCACGTAAGAATTTGGAAGAGTAAAAATTATTTAAGAGGGCAGATGGGATGGCTAGGGGGAAGATACCGAGTCAGCTTCAAGAATGATGGAGCATTCTAATAGGTCTGTGAAGGAATTAAACTGGGAGGTGATGGTAAGAGCATTTATGGCAGTAGGGAGGGACAATTAGAAGAAAAAACACAAAAGTAGGAAGATGTCATTGTGTACAAGAAGCAGAAAACGGTTAAATTTGAGCAAGATAAAGCTGAAAGGATTGATTACTGAATTGTGGGAAGATCCTAAATGCCACGCTGAGGGGTTTTGACTTTATTATAAACGAAAAAGAGCCAAAGGCTTTTTAATTAAGGTTTTTTCTAAGTAATTTTTTCATTTTTAGTATTTCAACAAAAGGAATTAGAAGAATCCTAAGTTCTTCATAAAGCTTGGGTATCTTTAGGAAGAGGAAATAAAAGTGGCCTAGTGATGTCATGAGTGGACCTAAAATGGCAAAAATTATAGGTTTTTACCAGAGCTCCAGAATCCTAAAATACTGTGCCTCGTTTCAGTTTTCTAAGTGTGTTATTTAATTCAAGGTCTCTGACCCTTGGTGGCAATTCATAATCATTGTGGTGCTTCAAAGATTCTCGTCAGAATCACTGGGCTTAGAGCCCTGGCAGTACGATTTTTGGTGAGGTGATTTTGATGCACAGTCAAAAACTATTTCTCCAATTATGTAAAATTAAGGTACAACTCTCCAGGTAGGTCCAATGATGGTTTAACCTTCAGATTTATAATAGATTAAGATCTATGCCTGATTTCAAAAGTTCTCAAAACTAACAGTTTACTACTGACTGAATTTGTTCTATCTGGCTCCTGTATAGACTTGAGTGTGCAACCCTATATTTAAGATCTTCCATGGTACTTATATCTCGAAAGGTGATGTTTCCTAGTAATGGTACAGGAGCAACTAGAGAAATCAGCCTCATCAGCTACCTCTAAGTGATTATCTTTATGGTTGGGGTCCCTGAACCACAATGCATGTCCCCCAAGCCATCATTATTAGGGATGACCTCCAGGTGACTATCCATTAGGTAAAAGAGTGGACTTTGTTAGAGCTCATCTTATGATATTTTGTGAACTCATTTAAACATAACCAATATACATATGATCTCAGGAGAGGGGAAAAGGCTTTTCATCTTATTTAAATATTTAGTCTTTAATTCATAATTTAGGTCCAGACCCAGAGGAATTGGTTGCCAATTTTTGAGCATAAGTGAGGCAGAATGAAGCAAAGAATACAAGTGGTTTTAGTGAGCAACTAAAACCCGTGGTATCACTGGAACCAAAGTTATATAATTAGCAAAAATATGTATATTATAACCTTTCTGGCCAATTACTGGGAAATTATAAAAGCTCAAAACTAGGCTGTTGCTAAGTTGATCTCAGCTATTACCATTTATAGCCTAATATAATATTATTCTTAAAAGTAGAGAAATTTTTACAAGTACATATATCTGATTTTGTTCCTTCACTCTGAATCCCATTTTTTTTTCATGTACTCTCCAGAAAGAATTCATTTTAGTTCTCTCAAGTAACAATAACGAAATAAAACCTGACCTACAGTAGGAATAACCAACTAGTTCAACAAACCACCTACGTGAGCCCCAAGCAAGATGTCTAAATGTACTGAGTACCTGGGTTGGGGCTTCCATCATCTGGGTGCTCACCCGATGGGGTTCTGTTTCAGGTACTTTGCTAAAAGTATGAAATGGCTATATTGCTGTGTTTCATATATCCTGAGTTATGAGAGACTTTCATGGAACAGTGGTTGTCAAGAAATAAGCACAGGAAGATGAACAAGAACAAGTGTGTCTTACTTCTTCTAGGGCCTCTAGTTCTTCCTCCAGCTGCTGGGTCTCCTCTTTCACTGCCATAAGGTAATCTGTAACAGACTGTCGGGGCTGCAGTCCCTTTTCAAAGCGGTTGTACATCCCACTCCAAAACCTGCAAAATATGGTAGAGCTTTAGGATGCCACTATATCACAATCTGTAAAGTCACCTCCTCAAGTCTTCTAAGGCATCTTTAATGCCACAGTCCCAAAGTCCTAACAGTCAAGAATTACGAGCTCAAAGAAGACACCTATTTAAGGTAATGATTTCATATTGATGCTCTATTTTTGTTGGGTCAATACCCTTTTGGGAGGGTAAATTCATGATGAGTCTACTTATACGTATGGTCCTAAATAAGAAGGCATGTATGTTTCTAAAGCAGACTGAAGTAGCACATATTACCATATTCTTTTTTGTTTTTTTTTTTTAATTTTTTTGTTTTATTTATTTATGATAGGCACACAGTGAGAGAGAGAGGGGCAGAGGGAGAAGTAGACTCCATGCAGGGACCCCAGCGTGGGACTTGATCCCGGGTCTCCAGGATCACGCCCTGAGCTAAAGGTGGCGCCAAACCGCTGAGCCACTGGGCTGCCCCTCATTTTTCTTTTTAAGAAAATGGCTCTTAATTTTGAAGTAAAGTTGGAAAATCGGTGATTATATTAACATTTGGAATCCTTCAGTTACAGATTTGAGGGTTTGGCTTGCTTTTTTTTTTTTTTTTTCTCACAACCACCAAAAATTGACATTTCCATTTGCAATAAGTCTTCCTTTTTTTTTTTTTAAATCCTGCACGATAAAGTATACTGGATTGCAAAGAATAAATAATATTATCACAGGAGAGTCTGTTGATCCATGCTTTACTTAGAAAGGGGCAGGGTTTTGATGTCATTCATTGTTTTATCCATAGTGCCTAGAATAGTGCTTGACTCAACATATTTGTTGACTATTACTAACAAATTTGGAGCAATACAATTGATTATATTGTATCTCAACAGCTCTCAAACTTCTGTTTTACAAGTTTTTGTTTTTAGTGTGACAATGCTATTTACAATTCTAGGGAAATAATTAGATAGAAATAATTAAAAACAAATTGAGGAGGGAAAAAAAACTACAGAGAAAAGCTATGAAGCACTAAGAGCGTTTTTGGGGATGGGTAGGGAGAAAAAAGCATTTCTCAGTTTCTTCTGTAGAAGTTTATCTTTTTGCTGACCTCGGAGACATCCTTCCACATCATACAACCTCTACATAGAGAAGCCAAAGGATAAAATATAACATATAACCCTAATAGAATCTGTAGGATGCCACCCTGCTCTCCCATCCCAATATGTACAGTCTTAATTTATTTCCATGGGAAGATAGTTCCTTCCACTAGGCAGAGATTCAGCAGAGAAAGAAGGTAAGCTAAAAGTCATGATCACTACCTAAATTTGTGGTTTAACTTACAAGACACTTGGTTTATTTGATCCATCATCCTTCCTTTCCTCTGTCCATTCTTGCTTGCTTCCTTCCTTTCTTCCTCCCTCCCTGTTTTTTGCCTTTAAATAATATTGGGGGGAATCCCTGGGTGGCTCAGCGGTTTGGCACCTGCCTTTGGCCCAGGGCGTGATCCTGGAGTTCCAGGATCAAGTCCCACATCAGGCTCCTGGCATGGAGCCTGCTTCTCCCTCTGCATGTATCTCTGCCTCTCTCTCTCTCCCTATGTCTATCATGAATAAATAAAGTCTTAAAAAATAATAATACTGGAATTTACATTTTTAAAGTATTATTATTATAAAACATCAACTTCTAAAGAGAATTCCACATGTAGGAGGAAAGAAGAGGGAGAGGGGACACTGGCAAAAATACCAGATCAGATATTTAAGCAACCTCTGGTGTGTTTTATGTCCAAAAGAAATCTTGAGGCTCAGCAGTGTTTCATACGCTTTGGCCTCCAGATAACAAACAGTAGCAGAATCTACATTTTTTTTTCATAGCCATACTCAGTAAGATCTAAAGGTTTACATACTTGTACATGAAGTTGCATGGCGTTGTGGGGAGACGAAGTGTCCCCCTGGTCTGACTGTGATCAGCTCTAAATAGAGGATTCATGTAGTCAGCCCGGTTCTTCCACAGGTGAGCCCATAAAGAATATGTTCTTTCTTGAATTCTGTTATAAAGAAAACAAGCCTGAAAATGACCTTATCTTGGTTCTTAGAAATTGTAGATGTGTAATATTAAAGCTGGAAAAGGACCAATAACTGTTACGTGAATATCTGGGGTGTCCCTGTTTTGTAGCAGGAAAATGTACAGTCGGTGTGTGTCCTCATGATATAGCCGAAGGCACTGTAATAGTCTCAACCTCTCTGCTATCTGTACTGACCTGGGCAAGATGTTTAATTCCTCTGAGTGCAAAATAAAACTATATAATTTGGGGAAAATTTTCCCCAAATGATCACTGACATTTTATTATTTGCCGGGTACTATTTAAATGCTTCACCTGTTTTCTCTCATCCAGTCCTCACTGAACTGTGAGATGTGTCCATTGTACAGATGAGAAAACCAAGGCAAAGAGAGATTTGAGCAGTTTCTAAAAGTCACATAGTCACAAAGACACATAGTGAGTGGAATAGCCAGGATTCAAAGCCAAGCAAACACCATTAAAGTGACTGGTCCATCACAGCAAACCACAAAACAGTCTAGGAAAACAGTTGAGCTTGAAGGATGCACTCTGGTACTTTTCATCATTTACCATTTACCCAGAATCACACTTGAAGTTCCTGAGAGAACAGTGGAGTCCATTTTACTTGAACTGATCATTTCCAATATTAAATCTGATATTATTAGACACCACAGTTAAAATCATTGTATGAAAATTTGAAAACTGTTCTCTCATTGTAGTTCCTAAAGCACTTGGCTATTAAGTTTTTGACTTTGCAATTTATTTTAAATTCTACATTTCATTGATTCTCCCTCTGGATAAAAACAATACAGGTTTAATCTGAATAAAAGAATGGCTTGCATTTGAAATGTGCTTTCCCAGTTAGATTTGCAGGTCTTACTAAGACAGTATATCCACTGAAGATATCTAACTTTTTTCTTTTAAATGCAAAAATCACGTTCTCTGACTCCAGGAAATTTCCTTTCAATATGAGAGCATCAAGTCTACCATTCTGTCTGTAGATATCACTGGGGCAAAAGAGCTTGTGTCTATCTTTGTTGGTTGCTGACATTAAACCATTTATGAAGTGATGTCAGAAAAAAAAATAACTTTAAAATGTTGCTATAGATATGTAGCTAAAATAGTCTCCAGAATGTTAAAACGCCATCTGAAATTCTCAATCACAAAATCCTTATATAAAAATTAAACAACCAAACACTTACTTGAGTTCTTGTCGCTCCTTTTGGCTATTACATAAGAAGTTTCCGAACTGGCAGGAATAAACATGGTGTTGAATGTGAATCAAAAATCTCTCATTGAACTCAAAGGCACAGGGAAACTGTTCCATTAACTGCCAGACACACTCAATGAACTGATCAATAACTGGAGAGATTTCTTTTGGATCACCATCTAGATTGCCATATCTATGAAAAAAATATTAGAGACTTTATAGCAAGTTGGTTTTTTTTTTTAATTATAAAGCTATGAATGCAATAGCAATCACAAAAGAAACCTCAGTTTTTAAATAAACCATGTAAACCTGGAGGGCAGAAGTGGAAAAATATTAACTTCTTAAATTCTACTTTCAAGAGAAGCTTTGAGCTGAAGGTCTGGCTATAGAAGGGACACACAGAAAAGAAAGCATTAGTGCAAAAGGTAAAATTCAAGGGAACTTTCCACGGCAAAAGAACATGTTTGTGTGTGTGTGTGTGTGTGTGTGTGGTGTGTTGAGCATCCTTTAGTTCAAGTTTCAAAAGTACATCAGGATTTTTGAAGTAAATCTTCCACTTTATTTTATTAGCAATTTGGGGAAGTGTGGGAAGAAATATCTAAGCAACATTAGAGGTTTTTGCTTTTGCTCCATTTTGTTGGAAGGGAAGAGGAAGAAAGACATCTTGAAAAAACTGTGGTTTCCCAAGTTTCTCAGGATATTTCTAGAGCAATGTTAAAACCTGTCACATAATTTATTTCCCATCTGGTAATTCCCATATTCCCAGACTCCCATATACCTTCATATCTCCCATCTTTGTTTTTCAAAAGTATTTTAGAATCTCCTTCACATTTGTATTGATTTTTTTTTTTTTAAATAGGTTTCGTGCCCTTCACTGAGCCCAATGCAGGGCTTGAACTCACAACTCTTGAGATCAAGACCCAAGCCAAGATCAAGAATCGGATGCTCAACTAAGCCACCCAGGCGCCCCTTCTATTGATTTTTAAACGAAGGCTGCGGAGTCTTTACGCTATTATGTGCTATTGTGTGAATTTTAGAATCCAAAAGAATGATTTGGGTATCATTACGTTGACAATAACAATAGAGAACCTTATCTGCTCAGCAATGGATAACCAACTTTAGGAATAGAAATGAGCGAAGATCACCTTAGGAGTTTTTCCAAGAGTGAAAATATTAGAAACTGTCTGAAAACTTCTTAAAAGTTTGAGTTCCACTCAACTTGGTAGCTTTAAAAATGGTTTCCTCATAAAACAATTATATAGCTAGTCTTTTAGCCATTTCCACATTTTTTCTGACCATATGTCCTCTATCTCAGAGATGCTAACTGCCATAAGATAGTAGAACCCCAACACTGAAAACCATGTGACCTTAAGAAGGTTACTCAAGGGGCACCTGGCTGGCTCAGTGGGTAGAGCATCTGACTTAATCTCAGGGTGGTGAGTTCTAGCCCCATTTTGGGCATGGCACCTAATTAGGAAAAAAAAAAAAAGAAAGTAAGTTACTTAAATGTTTGCAGGCTTTAATTTTCTCATTTATAAAACAGAATCATTGTGTTTTCCTGGAAAAATAATTTCAAAAACAATTCTAGAAGACCACAGAAAATGATTAATGCTAAATGCAAAAGTTACACAATTAAATATGGGCAGTTCCATGAATTTAGAATTTACTTTAGGAACACTGAAACAAAAATGTATATTTAAAATATTATTAGCATGTTGCCTAAAATTTTAGCTCTAAAGGACTCGATTACCCCAGCATTAAGAGATTGATTAAACATCAGAACACCTGTCAGGCATTATCAACCCTGTCACCAGAAGGGACACTGGTGGCTCTAGAAATAGTAACTCAGTAACTTCTGTTTACTGAAAGCTTAGTATGGGTAGGCAAGGAACTAGATTAGTTAGCAATGCCTTGCTATAGCCCTGTGGAACAGGGAGGGTATCCCCATTTCACAGATGGGAGGGAGGCCCAACACTCAGGACAGATGCCCAAGGGCACACAGCTAGTAAATGCTACAGTCTGGGTTTGGGGCTGAATCTGACTCCAAAACCCAGACCAGCAGCCTTCAGGACCTCTCTGCAGACATCTGAGACAAACTCCAATTTAATTCCCAGTATGAAAGGTCAAAGAGAAACTGTTCCACAGACATTTCACACCTTATAGCTTAGAGTAAGTATCTGCACTTCAAAAAATAGAATAATGAATCAAATGCATATGGTAGGAGAAAAGGAAAAATCCGTTCTCAGCCAGTTAATAGCATTCTGTCTTTCCTGGAGCAATTTAACATTACTTAGTTCTGCTCAACAACTAAATACCAAGAGGAATTAGAACTTCATTTATCTGTGTTACAACGTATATAACAAAACTAACTTTTTGAATAAGATACACAAAGAAAATAAGGCTGTTTTCCCCCACTCAGTTAAAAACTTAAACAGATTTTTTTTTATTCTACACATTCAAATCAACAGATTTTTAAGGTGTTGTTTTTTTTTACCTGTGATTAAATTTATGACCAAAGGAAATCCAGTCCTTTTCAATTAATACCTATACAAAAAAGAATATATAAATATCATGGAGAGAAGCAAACAAGGAAAAATAAGAGACCCCAACCAACAATGTTGAAGGATTCAAAGGTTCTTAGAGAAGTCACTCCTCAGGTAGCCTGCAGATAAATGAGCACTCATTGTCCACCAATATAGAGATGCATAGCAGAGGGTAAAGTTGAAGGTCATCCACAGGAAGGGTAAATGGGAATGGATACATGAAAAGGTAATAGCACCCACTGAGAGCTTTCTAGAAAGCACTGTTCATATTGCTCATATATAATCTCATTTCATTGTGGGACAAGTATGATCACTCTCATTTCTCAGAAGGGAAAACAAAGAGAAGTTAAATACTAAGATCACACGACTAGGAAGTGGTTGATGCTACCTCATTACCTAGCTCTTTCTACAGCAAAGCCCATCTCTTAGAAAGTACCAACCTCCTTACAAGAGGTAATAGGAATATTTTCCTGTGATCTTTACCACACATTAGACAAATTCTAAAATGTTGGGGGTTTGGGACATAATGGAGGAGTTTCAACCTGCTTTGGAGTTGGGGTAGCATAAGTTTATAATCTTCAATTGTCTAGATTTTAAAAAGAAATAATATAGACCAATCCCATCACTATCACCAATGCTCTAAAATGGCCAGAGATTTTCCCTTACAAATGTATGGAGTGGTTGAAGTTTGCCCTTGACAATATGTAAACTTAATGGGACAGAATCAAGAACCAATAATGGTAGAGGATGGTGTGAAGGAGTGCCTGAGCCGGAGACCCTCCACTCTCCAAATGGAAATGAAGGAGTCCACGGGAGGAGTCTAAAGCTGAGAGATCAATCTGAAGTCTCAGTGCTCTCACAGGTAATTGGAAGTTCCCTGACACAAAAAAAAAGAAGAAAAAGCCTATAAAGGAAACCTGCCTCTGCCTTTTCTTTCTTGTCCCTAGAGTGTCAGCAGGTATTACTTGATGAAGGAGATCTAGCAGTAGAGATATCCCATTCAGGCTCCTCTGTCAGCATCTATCCCTAGCGTGGATTCAGGATCCACTGAAGCACTTTCTACCAAACCATGGTGCCAGAGGCAAGAACCAGGTAATCTCCCAGTCACTAGGAAGCCCCTGCCATCATGTTAAGAACAGGGCTCCAGCCTGGCCAGAGATTCACCATCCCAGCAACTACACAGATTCTGCAGGTGGAAGTAACACGTCGCCCCGTGATGCACACCTAAAAGGTGAAAATCTAGGAAAGGGTGTACTCATAATTTCAACAAAGAGCACAGAAACAAACTTTCAATACTCTCATCCAGAGTTGTGAAGGACTATCTAAAAAATCAAAGTAGTAAATAAAAAGGTTTTCCTCTCAAGGACTTTGCATGTACAATACAGAAGACTTTTTTTCTCCAAATATTTTTTCCTGGAAAGTATTTTCTGCTACATGTTCACATGTTACCTCAAGCTTAATATATTTGTGAGCAAATAATGTATAAAGCTATTTTATATTTTATAAACTATTGAATATATTCTGTATTTGCCCCCAAATTCACATTGAACAGCACCAGTTTGAATTGGTTCCAACATCCCAGAAATTCATTTTATTCCACTTTTTTATTCCAAGACCAATTTTCTACATTTATTTATTCATTCATTCATTCATCCATTCATTCATTCATGAGAAACACACAGAGAAGGCAGAGACATAGGCAGAGGGAGAAGCAGCTTCCCTCTGAGGAGACCGATATGGAACTCTATCCCAAGCCCTCGGTATCACGCTCTGAGCCAAAGGCAGACACTCATCCACTGAGACCTACCTTTTCTCCTTTAATCTTGCTAATCTACTATGAGAAAAATAACAAGGGAAGAGAAAGAAGTTGCCCAAGGTTGCCGAAAGAGAGGTCCATTCTGCTAGAGACCCGGTGTGGGCTGAGTGGCCTGGCAGCCACACTCACCATAAAGCCCTTCAGGGTCCGGTAATGCGGGTCCAGCAGGAGGCTGGCCACTGAGCACACTTGGGCAGTCCTGTCCCAGCCATCTGAACAGTGAACAAGCACGCTTGCCCCTTCCTCTGAAACTGCCTAAAAAACACAGAATCAGCAAAGAGTCAGAAAGAATGGCTACAGAAAGGAAAAATGTCTCATCAGAATTAGTTTTGGTTTTATACCTACAAAAAGAAAACAGAGTAAAAAAAAAAAAAAAAAAAAAAAAACAGCTAATTTAGTGTTCATGCCCCATCCATTAGGGTAGAGCCCAAGGAGTGGTTTGATGCTGGCAACCAAAACTTTTCCAACCTATCATACCCAGGCGCTAGCCCCCAGACCACCGCAGCTAAGCACTTGTGGTACAACAAAAGCATGCTTCCTGCCCAAACGTGTCCTAGCCCACCTTCTACCCTTCCCTCCCCTCCAGGTTCCCTTAAGAGCTTTCCAATGCTGCAATTCTGCAGCTGCTACTGGTCTCAATCATTTCCAAAAAGGGAAAGACACAAAAATTATAAGAAATAAAACTATGAAAGTAGAGATAAAAGGATAGGAGTCAAGTCATGCATCCAGGGGTGGGGGAAGGAAGAGAAAACAAGGTAAAAGTTATAGCAGCAAGTCTCAGAGAAAAGAATTTCTATTTGCTATTGCAAATGCACACACAATTTTTAGCTGAGTATCCTGGCAGGAAATGTAAATTGGGCAACATGGCAGAGATTGCAGCATAGCACTTTGAAGTACCAGAAATTCTGTTTATTCTTATTTATTCATTTTCTGTGTCCCATGCAAGCTCTGTAAGAGAGGAGACTTGATCTGGTTTATTCAGAATTGCATGCTCAGCACCTATAAAAGTGACTGGCACTAAATAAATACTTGGGAAACAAATGAATTATCTAATAAAGGGGAGCATATCATATCCTCAGAAAAGACATGGCTGTCTCTAGGTATAAATCTGAGAGGGATTTATTAAAACAACCAACAAAAAACATCGAGAAACAAAATAGACAACACATTCAAACCCTGCTTACATGGAAGTCGCAGCAACGCTGTTCCTGTGGCAGAAGGGAACCTGCCTACCAGGTTTGGAAACCTGACCTGCCCTCATGACAAAGGAGTTGCTGTTTACTAAGATGGAAGCCCGGCCTTGGTCACTGAGGTGTCACACATTTGGATGTATGCACTCTCCTACAGAAAATTCTTTCTTCCAATTAAGACCAAGCCTAACCAAAGAGAGAACACTCTAAACAACGTTTTATCATTTACTGCTGTGCTAGCATACCATCAGCAGAGCACTGTCCTCTCTTCTGCAAAGTCACATGTTAAGAGGCCAAGCATTGTGGTCTGCAAAGCCAGCTCCCCACTCAGCGTGCCACAGCTTACTTGGGGGGAGGGGGGCAGTCACAGCAGATTGGGAGCAAATGGGATCTCTGTTCTGAAGTCAGAGTCCCCAGCTGTCTGCCCTTACTACGTACCTTTGCAATGAAGATTCCTGCATCCATGATGGCCTTAATGTGCCTTAACCAGCCAGAATTCTCCAGCCCCCACAGAAAGTCACTCATGGAGGGAGACTGAAGCTCACACACTGCAAGATAAATCATGTCATGAAAGCAAAATATTGGCAAGCTCTTACTTTACATACGATCATATTTGCAGGTAGTTTGTTAATGATTCCTTCGTTGTATTTCCTGGAAGAAACTACATCAGGATAAATGAGCATACTTACTGAAGCTGATTCTCCTAAACCACTTGAAGTAAGGCACTTCTACGTTCTGTGGTCACAGGGGAGGCTGCATTTGTTCAGCAGTATCATACTTGTAAAGTTTAGACCCCCAATATTAATGAAAATCATTGACTGTGACTATCGTAGGGATCCAGCAGAGAAGATCTATCTACCCTTCCAGCAAAGATATTGGCAGTGGACCACTATCTCTGGTGTACGTGAATGAGCGTGCTACAGAGGAAAGTTCTTCTGACGAACCCCAGCGCCTGCCCACTCCGAACTCCGCAGCACCCAACCACGTCAGCTGAGGACCACTGTGAAAACATAGAACTAACCGAAACATCTCAGAAGGAAATGCTCCAACTCCTCTTGCCAACAACCCCCACCAACTGGGAGTAAAAATGAGATCCTGTCCTTCTGAACTGCTGCTCTAACATCAAGTTAGGAGGTTTCTCCTTGAAAAGAAAGGTCAGCTGGAATCATAATGATATCTATATTTACACAACTAAGGCAGGTGTGTCAATACTTCTATATTATCACAAGCAATTTCAGCTCCAGAGCTTACTTTTAGTTAACGTAAAGCACAAAAAAGCTTCAGAGCTAGCGTTCTGACTACGTATCAGAAATATTATAGTTCCAAAGTGTATGGGTTTTATACGTATGAAGTAGTTTTAAGGAGTCCTCTAAATCAATCAATTACAAATAATGTTCCATGAAAATATCTGTTTGTTGGCTGAAGTACATTTTATTGTACTCTGTGGTGCAGTGACACATGCAGGGAGCATGGAGCCCTTTCTCCCACTCCCAGTGCTGTCAGTATGCAGCTGCATAGTCTTGCACAAGTCATTTCAACTTTCTGAGCCTTGGTTTCTTCATGTTTAAAATAGGGAAGGCGTACTAAACCATATCTCAGTGTCCTTCCAACTCCAACCTCCCAGATTCAACTGTGTTAATTTTTTAAAGTACTGCACACTCGGGTGTGCCTGGGTAGCCCACTCGGATAAGTGTCGGATTCTTGGTTTCAGGCTCAGGCAGTTATCTCAGGGTCATGAGATGGAGCCACCACCACCAGTCCAGCTCTGTGCTCAACCTGTGGAGTCTGTTGTCCCTCTCCCTCTCCCGACTCATGCTTGGGTACTTCCTTTCTCTCTAAGTGAAATATTAAAAAAAAAAAAAAAGTATTGCACATTTGGAATAGAGAGTAACTGTTAATTACAATATTTGTTAGCTGTCCTTTCCTCAAATGTGCCACATAAGAGAAGGTTCACTCTCATTTCCCGCAATCTAAGAGCCACATTAAAAAAAAAAAAAAAAAGAAAACACACAAGTGATTAAATTCTGAGTCACAGATGACAGCAATGATGAAGAAAATAACACCAAAATTCCCGGCAAAGGCTCTACTTAACCATATTATAAAGTAGTTTAGGCAAAATTTCAAACTCTTGCCCAGCTGGAAGCGCAGCTCTCCAGGGACCTAATAAGCAGCTAAAGAACTGAGTTCTCTCTGGCCCTGCTCTGACCCCCCGAACACGGTCCCTTTGTCTGGGGTTACGGTGCTGTTCCCTCCGGCCGATATCACCACCTGCAGGAGAGCACACCGCCAGTATCGATGATAAAGCACGTGCGGAACAGGACGGGGAAAGGTGCTTTGCTGAAGCTCAGTGAAAAATACACAGACTGATGGATAGAATCGAGCTCTATGGGTCAGCCCCGCCGCCCTGGCCACTCAGCAGTAGGCTATTTCCAAGGTTATGGTCTCCTTGGTCATTAAAATGTATTATGAAATATTTGAACATATAAAAGATTTTAAAATAATATAATGGACACTCAGACTGGCCACAATTATTTCAGATCTCTTAAAAAAAAATGTTACAAATAAAGTCCCATGTTCCTATGTCCTCTTGCTCTTCGGCCTGAAGTCTATGAACATTACCAGGCAGGTTTATGCCCCCTTCACTATTTACTAGCTGTGTAATCTTGGACATTTAGCTTCTCTGTGCCTCAGTTTCCTTGGCTATAAAATGAGGATAATAACAGCCCCTAGAACAAAGAGTTATTTTATAAATATTAATTATCCTCATTCCCACTTCCAGCCTTGGCAACTTGATCTTTTTATCCAACATTTTATTTCTGAGACAGCCATATTATATAACTAGATTTCACGCATTTCACAAGCACATAACACCCCACTCTAAATATATCTCAGATTACGTATCCATTCCCCTACAGTTGTTAGTTGGTTCTTTTTTTTATTTAAATTCAATTAACATATATTATTAGTTTCAGAGGTAGAGGTAATTCACCAGTCTTACATAACACTCGGTGCTCATCACATCACATGCCCTCCTTAATGTCCGTTCCCCAGTTACCTCCCGTTCCCCCACCCACCTTCCCCTCCAGCAACCTTCAGTTTGTTTCCTATGATTAAGAGTCTCTTATGGTTTGTCTCCCTCTCTGATTTCATCTTGTTTTAATTTTTCCTCCCTTCTATGATCCTCTGTTTTGTTTCTTAAATTCCACCTATGAATGAAACCATGATTGATAATTGTCTTTCTCTGATTGACTTATTTCACTCAGCATAATACCCTCTAGTTCTATCCACGTCATCGTAAATGGCAAGATTTCTTTCTTTTCTTTTTTTTTTTTTTGTAGTCATGTCTTCTTTTTCAATATTTATAAACAGTGCTTCAAAAGACATCTGTCTACAATCTCCGGGTGGAGAGTCTCCCTGTGCATGCATTTCAATAAGTGAAATGGGCTGGGTCAGCGGATCCCACCAGGAATCGCCAAACTGCTCCAGGAGCTGCTGCATCCTCTCCAGCAGCGTGGGATTAGTCCCTCCTCCCACACCCTACCCAACACCTGCTTCTGCCAGTGCTTTCGGTGGGGCCACTGTTACTTCTCTAAGGTGATTAATGCCAGTTTTTTGTTTGTTTTCATCTCTTCTACTGTCTGAATTGATTTTTTCTAGATTCATTATGTTCGCTTCCTTGCTTGCGCGTGTGCTTGTGTGTGTGTGTGTGTGTGTGTGTGTGTGTGCGTGTTGTCTCTGTCTTCCATGGTGGGCTTTCCCCAAGTGTCCGGTGACCTCTGTCCATTTATACATAAGTGCTGGGTGTACTTGCAGGTCTCTTAGCTGTGGGGCTTTCCTGTGTGAGAAGTGGGGGGCCTGAACCCCCAAACTTCAGGTTTGGCAACTGTTCTCTTGGAATGGCTGCAGGCCCCAGGGAGGGATGTTCAGACGTCTGAGTGACTCAGTAAGACCAGATGTCCATGTGCTCAGAGCAGGTCTGGGAGGTGAACCATGGGGAATCTTCTTCCATTCTTGTTTACATACTGCCTCCTTTTTGGCCTGGTATTTCCTGCTCCCTCTTCCAGCTACGCCTGCTGTCTGGGAGCCCAGAGTCTCTCTAGTCAACTTTTCCAGAAAGTTCATCACTCATCCTCCCTCGTGAAGGTGAGGTAAGAGCCTTCACTGGGCAGCACAGGTGAGGGAGGAGGCTGGGGGTCTAAGGACGAACAGTCAATCAGTTCACCTGTTTCAGAGGAACCTCATGCTTCATTCTGGAGCTTTTGGAGGGTCTGCGGGATTGTCGGGCTTGCTTCGGTGTTTCTCACACCCCCACCATAAATTTCAGCTTCTGTCTCGTCAGTTCACTCACTGTTATTACTCATCCATCTATTTTCCAGCGTTGACATTTTTGTTGCTGCCACATCCTTTCCCGTTATCCCACTGTCTCACTCTTCTGTGTTTTGCTTTTTTTTTTTTAACCACTTCCTTATCATTTTAGTGGGGGTGCAGGGAGCGGGTGAATACATGCCTCAGTACGCTAAATATAACCGGCAGCAAGGCACGGTCAAATGTGGGGTCTGTGTGAGTTGGAGTTGGAATGGGGATTAAACTGAGCCATTAAAAAAAAAATCCACTTGTGGATGCAGGGTGGTGACCAGGATGCCTGGGCTCCACATGAGGAAAATAAAAATTTATCTTAAGAAAATAAAAAAAATTAAAAAATTAAATTTTATCCCGAGATGTTGAAATGCTAGGTCTAGTCTTGATATGTGGTTGGGATCCAAAGGTATCTTTTCCTTACATGTGAGATTCCCTAGTTGAGAAATTACCATATCTGGGCAGCCTCCTCATGATCCCTGGCAGCAGCAAACCAACAACTGCTCAAGAGCAACACTTCCATAATTTTGTGGGATCGCACAGGTTAACTTCACTGAAGATAAGTATAAAAAATTAAGTATAAAATAAGTATAAAAAAATAGAACACACCTGAGTATTCTCAGGTAAGAGCAAAGAGACACAGGAGAAAAGGTACAGGATTAGCACCCCAAGAATATGATACAGTAGAACAGTAATCTGAACCTCGGTTTCATATCACTGAATTGGAGCAGAAGAATGGAAGTCTCCACCAACGAAACACAAAATGCATCGCTTTCCCGACGTGTTTGAGTTCACGCTCCTAGCAGCTGGGGAAAAGCATCATGTTAGCCACCGCGGTGGGGCTGCATGGTTGGTCACCTCAGCTAACTCACAGCCAGGATGCCCACAGTCCCCCTTCCAGGGTCCCAGGTAAGAATCCACCGCAGGTATCTGCAGGATATCTGGAAGGCAAAAATGAAGCAGTGCAGACTCCCCATGCTTAACTCTGTAGGGCAGTGCAGACTCCCTCCTTTATTAACGTCAGGGAAGACAGTTGTTCTAGAAAGGAAACAGGACCAGGGCACTTTTATAAAAAAAAAAGCCTCAGCTAAGAGAATAATTACACAACAAAACTGTACACACTGAATAAGGAGCTAATCAAAATTGTGATTTAACTCTCTGAGGCAGATGAGGGATGTGAGAGGGATGTGAG